ATTATGTTCATTTTTGTAACTGAGTAACATTTTCTCATATATATATATAACACATCTGTATCCATTCATCTGTCAGTGGACATTTAGATTGCTTCTATGTCTTCCCTATTGTAAATAGTGCTTCAGTGAACATTGGGGTGCATGTGTCTTTTCTAATTATGGTTTTCTGCAGATATATGCCAAGGCATAAGATTGCTGGATCATATTGTAGTTCAATTTTTAGTTTTTAAAGAAACCTCTATACAGTGCTTCCCATAATGGCTGCACCAGTTGGTGTTTCCACCTTTTAGAAGGTTTCCCTTTTCTCCATACCCTCTCCAACATTTATCCTTTGTAGACTTTTTGATTATGGCCATTCTGACGGGTATGAGATGATACCTCGTTGTAGTTTTGATCTGCATTTCTCTAATAATCAGTGATGTTGAACATATTTTCATGTGATTTTTGGCCACCTGTATGTCATCTATGGAGAAATGTCTAGATTTTCTGCCCATCTTTTGACGGGGTCATCTGGGTTTTTTGGATGTACAGCTCCATGAGCTGTTTGTATATTGTGGAGGTTAACCCTTTGTTGGTGACTTCATTTGCAAATATTTTCTCCCATTCCATGGGTTATCTTTTTGTTTTGTTTATGGTTTCCTTCACTGTGTAAAAGTTTTTAAATTTGATTGGGTCACATTTGTTTATTTTGTTTTTATTTTCATTACTCTAGGATGTGGATTGAAAAACATCTTGCTGTAATTTATGTCAAAGAATGTTCCGCCTGTTTTCTTTTAAGAGTTTTATAGGTTCTGGCCTTACATTTAGGTCTTTAATCCATTTTGAGTTTATTTTTGTGTATGGTATTAGAGAATGTTCTAATTTCATTCTTTTACATGTAAGTGTCCAATTTTCCCAGCACCACTGAATGAAGATATTGTCATTTCTCCATTGTATATTCTTGCTTCCTATGTCACAGATTAATTGACTGTAGGGGTCTGGGCCTATTTCTGGGCTTTATATCCTATCCATTGATCTATATTTCTGTTTTTGTGCCAGTACAATACTGTTTTGATGTCTATAGCTTTGCGGTGTAGTCTGAAGTCAGACAGTCTGATTTCTCTAGCTGTTTTTCTTCCTCAGGAATGCTTTGGCTATTTGGGGTCTTTGTGTTTCCATACAAATTTAAAATGTTTTGTGAAAAATGCCATTAGTAATTTGATAGGGAGTGTATTGAATCTGTAGATTTCCTTTGGCAATATAGTCATTTTGACAATATTGACTGTTCCAAATCAAGAACATAATGTATCTTTATCCATCTATTTGTGTCATCATATATTCTGATTTAATTTGTGTGCAATATTATGGGCAGTGGGGTTGTTAAAGCTCCCCAGACTTAACAATTCTCTGAGAATGGAATTCAAGAGGCAAGCCTGTATATGGGACTAACTAATGAGTTTTAGATGTTTTGGTTTTAGATGTTTAGATAGAGTTTATTTCCAAATAAGTATGCCACAGTAAGTATACTTCTCAGTGAGTGATTTCCATATGGCATTCAAGATGGCATTCATCACTGGCTACATATATAGAATCCTCTGGAGAGCATCCTAAACACATTGATGCCTGGATCCCACCCCCAGCAATTCTGATTGAATTGGTCCAAGATGAACCTGAGCCTTGACTGTTTAAAAAAAAAAATCTCCCTAGGTACAAACAGTGAAACATCATTCAGCTCTAAGGAGGAAGGAGATTCTGACACATGCTATAACATGGATGCACCTCAAAGGCATTATGCTATGTGAAATAAGAGTCACAAAGACAGCTACCACATAATTGTACTTACGTGAAATGCCTAGAGTAGCCCATTTCAATAGAGTCAGAAAGTAGAACAGGGCTGGGGGACAGGGGGTGACAGGTTAATAATGGGAACAGAGTTTCAGTTTTATAAGCTGAGAAGAGTTTTAGAAATGGGGTGTGTAGCAGTGTGAGTGTACTTAGGACTACTGAACTGTATACTTTAAAATATTTAAGATGGTGAATTTCATGTGTGTTTTATCATAAAATAAATATTTTTAAGAGAACTCATTAAAAAAGAATCTCCCCAGGTGTTTCTAAGGTACAGCCAGGGCCATGACCGGCTGCTCCAAGTGGAGGCACTCAACAGGCAGGAGATGATAGGGTGTGTGTGTGTGCGCGTGTGCTCAGTGGTGTCCCTTTGTGATCCCATGGACTGTGGCCACCAGGCTCCTCTGTCCATGAGATTTCCCAGGCAAGAATACTGGAGTGGGTTGCCATTTCCTTCTCCAGGGGAATCTTCCTGACCCAGGGACCAAACCCACATCTGTTGCATCTCCTGCATCAGCAGATTCTTTACCACTGCCACCAGTGATCAGATAAGTTCTGTGATTCTGTCATTCATTCCCTCACTGAGAAACTGATGAAAATCCATAAGCAATTATTGATAAGAGAAGGGTATCTATTCTGATTCAGTCTGGATCTGCTTCTGCTTCTCCTCCTCCTCTCTGGGGCAAGTCCCTCTTGAACCAGCTGATTTATGCTGGGAAGTTCACTTCTTCCTGTCATGGCTTTGTTAACACTTAATGGTAACTCTTGGACTGAGAAAATTCCCAGAGGTTCATTTTCATCACAGGGGAAGTTCTGTTCCCTCCAGATGCTCTGCAAAATGTATTTCATGTGTTCTTTTCCTCCTGCCATCAGCAATGCAGTTTTGCCTCCTTTCTCTCTAAATCTGAGTCCTTAGAATTCTGCAGTCTGCATCCCTCCCATCTTTGCAAAGGAGGGAAATTTTAGTCCATGGTCTATAGTTGGAAGCAGTCTTTCAGTTTGGAATCTGCTCTGTGAATGGATTCCCACTGGGGAGAAAAAGGTATGCCATTATATTTCCTATGCAGCACTTTAATTACCTCATCCACTCAGCCTAGAATATTTCAAGCCCTGAGTAGTAGGCACATAAAAATTATTGTCTCACTGAATTTGATTTATTTGATTATAGAGAATAATATTTTCAAACTTGGTTTATATTGCCCATTCTTATTAAAAGGATAATCACTTTGTTAATGTTTGTGCATATCTAGAATGAAAGTAGCATGTCGGCTGGAGTCGTGAATCCAAGAGGACATCAGATTTGGGAATTTCATGTTATCAAAAGTGTAGCTGGGTAACTGACCAGCCCTAAATGAGAAAAGAAAACCATAAGAACGTATCACCAAAAAAAAAAAAAAAAAAAGCCCAGATTCAGGTGGCCGGCAGCAATGAACCTTCCTAAGGCTCCATTCTGGATTCTCCTGTAGGACTTTGCAAGGTTTTGTGTAAGATCATTAGTCCAAAATTGCAAACTTTTAAAGCAGATAGAGCTTATTTTCAAATAAGGATACATCAGGGAGTTCGCTTCTCAGTGAGTGATTTCCATATAGCATTCAAGATGCAAAATGAACCCCAAACCGTGTGAAGAGCTTGGATGACAGAATGGGAAATTTGCCTACAGTCAGTCATCTCAAAACACCCTAAAAAAAACTTCCTAAAGAGGCTGGCATTGAAGTTCAGGTGAGTGGCATTCAAGGCAAAGGAATCTGCATGAGAAAAGGGTTCAGAAAGTAGGAAATGCTGTATTGATGCTGCAGGGTAGGGAGTGAAAGAAAGATTAGAGGGATTGAAATGTAGGACTAGCAGGAGAAACCAAAAACTCACTAGGAAAAGCCTTGAAGAAGAGAATGTCAAAAGAAAAAGAAAAAAAAAAAACTCATAACACAGGGAGCTATATTCAAAAAAATTCTCACCTATAAGTACATGAAAAATATTTTATATTCACTACTCTTCTAGCAAAAACATTAATAATGATGAGGTATACTTTTTTGCTTTTTAAATTGACAAGGTTTAAAAATTTATATTCAGGCCAATGGTTGTTCCCATAGTCTGTTGGTAGTACATGTTGGGACAAACTTTTCATGTGGCTCTTGATAATAGCATCAACATTTCATTTACACACAAGCATAAGTACACTCTTTCATCCAGTGTTTCCACTTCATATCCTGAGGAGTAGTTAAGGATATGAACAAAGACTTGGCAAAAATGTTTGTAACAGGAAAATGTAAGAAAGGAAGTACGTGTCAACCTGTAGAGCATTTGTTAAATTCTGGTTCCTGCATTCAGGAGTATACCATCCAGTCATTTAAAATACTGGTACAGGAGAGCATTTCACTTCCTCTCTTCCCGTCTCACAGAAGCCCATGAGTACTTCCATCTGTGTCAAGGTCCCTTACAACAGTGACTTGTGCGGGCCCTCTGTCTAGAGGGACATAGCTGAATCTACAAAGCGGGGCACAGCTTGGGTTCGTAGAAGCCCCTCAATGGTCCTGATATCCTTCCGTAGGTGGAAATTCCCTGATGTAAAAATGTTTTTATTGATACAGAAAGATGCCTGGGATGTATAGATTGAAGCAAGCATGCAGTATTGTATCACTTTTAGAAAATATTTATATGCAAGCAAAAAAGTATGGAAAAACAGAGCAAGATATTAACTACTTTTCTCTGGACGGTAGTTCAGTGGGTAACAATTCAACTTTGCCTTCTGATTTTTCTATTTTTTCAACAGTAAGTACACATGTTCATTGTGTAATTAAAGTTTTTTCTAAATAAATAAAATGGACAAAATAGATTAATGATAACATTCTGTGACTTCAAAAACTAGAAAACAAATATTTGCAAAAAAGTATATACACTTATTATTTAAGGAGTTGGGCACTGTGGGTATTTTTGTGTCTCAAAGAACCATCAGATACACTTAAAACTAATGCAACATTGTAAATTAACTATTCACTTAGGTTTTTAAAAGGAGAGAAAAAGAAGACTAAAGGATAAGTACCCAAAGAAAGACCATCAGACAAATTTTCAAATCACTTAAAATTGATGACAATTTTTGATTCTATCAGTTACTGACTTTACCTTCCTTTTTTTACCCCCTAAACCTAGCATAACTGAATTTAATTTTTTCCTGACAAAAGAATGCAATTTCAACTGACCTTTCTTTTGCATCTTGGTGAGTACTGTCAAAATCCATTTTCTGTTTGTATTGAACTGTTCTAAAATATTTACTGGAAATAGGTTTTAAACATATCCACCCCTTTTTTCTATACTAACACATATTCTCATGACTCTTCTGTTGTATATGTCAAGCAACCAGAAAGTTTCATTCAAACATGGCTAGTATCCACACATAGCTATTTCTGTCAGTCTTTAATGGAGTATTCATGGCAGCAGATAAATAAAGACACTAAAAGAGCAAAATACTTTCAGATTCTTAATTTACAAATACAATGCATTTTAATTTTTAAAAATAGCTCTGCTTTGAATGTTACACTTAACCCAATGATGACATCTCATAAAGAATTTATAGGCAAAATTCTCTCTTCTGAGTAAGTAGCAGCTCTGAGCTAAAAGGCCAAATTCTGCATGACTGTGCAGTCTTTGATAAGCTGATAATCATTTACATTAGTCATAGAGAAGAGGTTTCCAACAATTACTGTCTTTGATCCTGAACTTTTTGTGTCTGTAACAGCCCTACTTTGGGTGAGTACCATCTAAATTGCTTAGAATCTTCTCTTCAAAGATTCATGCTGAATTTCTTCATGGCAGCAGACTTGAAGAATCTCTTTTAATTTTACAATTCCCAAGTGAATGAGTGATAGTAGCTCAGTCTTGTCCAACTCTTTGCAACCCCATGGACTGTAACCTGCCAATCTCCTCTGTCCAATTCTCCTGGCAAGAATACTGGAGTGGGTTGCCATTTCCTTCTCCATACAATTCCCAAACGCTGAGACAAATTCTCAGTTGGCTTGACTGGTCATGAAGGAAAGAACAGCAGTAGATGGTAAATGTTCATTTGCTGTCTGTAAAAAGTTTTCTGCTTCAGTGATGAGCTACCAGCCAGTGCAAGAGGAGATTCACTGGTCTGTACCCCCTCAAGACTAGGAAGTTTAGGTCTGGCCTCAGAGAGGCCGAGAAGATTTGGTTTCATCTACATCTGTTTTATTGTTGTTTGAGGGAGGTGGGGTTTTATTGGCCACTCCATGGGCATGCAGGATTCTTAGTCTCCTGACCAGGGATTGAACCCACACCTTGGTCAGGAGACTAAGCACAGAATTCCAACCAATGGACCACCAGGGAAGTCCCCATCTACATCTGCTTTGGTTGTTCTCTTAGGGATTAAACCAATATTCAAAACCAGAAGCAACCAATTAACAGCATCTTCTCCCAGCCCCTCCACAGGATAACTTACTCACACCTTGCCAAAGTTCTAAACCTCCCCACAGCATCTCAGAGAAGCCTCCTCAATCAGGAGACACTTCCTCTCCCTCAACGTCCACTCAGCCTTCCTCCAGGGGATCTTCCCAACCCAGGGATTGAACTCTTGTCTCTTACATCTCCTGCATTGGCAGGCAGATTCTTTACCACTGAGCCGCCTGGGAAGCCCATAGTTCAACCACAGGCATTGATATAAATATCTAAGCCTATTTAAACCCCCTGTCTTGCATTCTGGCACAGGAAGATAAAGAGAGAGAATCATAAAATTGGTCCCTGGTTTGGGGAACTGTTTACAAAGTGCACATCTTTTCCAATCTGAATCCTTTGCATGTTTTCTCACTCATAGTAATGTATGTAAGTATGTAAACAAATGTGTATGTTTATAGCTTCTGAACTCTGAAGTGAATTATAAAGTAGATGAAAACATTGCATGTGTTTAAGAAAATTGTAACAATGTACAGAGTTACCAAGATCAAATAGTAATGGTTATATCTATAAAATGACCCTTGACTTTACAGAAAATTTAGTGTATATTTTCTTTAAATCACCAGCTTTCCTAAATTCATTTTTAATAAGATCCTATCCTCAACTTGTATGTAATTTTTGAGCAATACATTGGTTTTCTGAGACTGAAACATCATTTTTCTCTGAATCATTTCCAACCTAATGCTCATGTAATAACTTGGCAGTTGAAAGCTTTAATCCAAAAAGGATATTTCTGAGTCTATGTTCAGGCATGAAGCTTTAACTACCCAATGTCTCTAGCCTCTTTCTGCCAAGTATTTTAGATCAAAAGTTCATATATGACTATAGAATATTACACAAATAATAGTTCCATTTCCCAAAGTCTTAGAATACTTTTTATTTCTGAAAAGTACATACCTGATTAAAAAAAGCTTGGCCAAGTCAGGTTATAAAAACATGTTTAATCTCTAAGGTAACAATTCCAGTGAAATAATTCAGGATGAAACTTGTCTAAAAGAATAAATCCCTGGGAGGGAAATCTTAGCTAGTCCACATGCAGCACTAGCAGACATTTTATGCCTGACCTTTTTGAAAAAGCCTCTGTCTGTTGAGTCCAAACTTCAAATTCGGTGTTTATCCTTGATGCCAATTCTAGGAAATAAAAGGAACTTTGGGTTTGGATTGTTGGGTGAATAAAAAGAAAGAATCCATCTTAACCAAGCTAGAATCATTTATTATACAATAAAATTTTTAAAGTGCATGAGGAGAACTTACCATGTCTCAAAGAGAAAGAAGTGTCACGCTTTGTTGTAGTATAATAATCTTTACAAGGAGATGGAAGATGGAGAATTCCCAAGAGTGATGTTTGGTAACCTATGGGGAAGGAGACATTATGGATCATATTCTTAGCTGTAGAACCATGATCTACATATGTTTAATGCCTGATAATAATCACAAAATCACCAGATGAACAGAATAGATGTGGGAAATGTGTACACAAGAGAAAGAGTATTTTTCAATAGCCTGTAGTTTTGGAGGGCAAGTTGGAGGAAAGTAATCCGTTAAATGCAAAACAAGTCCATGAAGAAAACTCTTATTTTTACCATCAAAAAAGCTGAGGGAAAAAGCAAGCTTATTCCACAGTATGGTAATTATTTTTCCTTTTAGGCTCATCCCTCCCACTTCTGTCTGCTTAAAACAGGATTTGGCGTAAATTCTCTTGTCTCAAAGGAATAATATATAGGAGCAGCTGGAACCCACCCTGTGTGTATTATTTTAGAGTGTGAGATTTACGTGATTCACCATCCAGAGGCCAATGGGGATGATTTTTGAGGAGAGAGAGAATTGTTTGGTTTTTAAAAAATTTTTTGCATTGAGATGATTGCAGATTCCCATGCAGTTGTAAGAAATAATACAGAGAGATCCCATTTTACCCAGTTTCTACAAATGATAGCACTTTGAGTAGCTACAGTACAATATACAACCAAGAAACTGACACTGAAATAGTCCATTAACCTTATTTAGAGTCCCCAAGTTTTGCATGTTCCCTTTTGTGTATGTGTGAGTATGTGTCTGTATATTTAATTCTATGCAATTTTATCAAAAGCCTATTCATGAGCCCGTCACCACAGTTAAGATAGAGAATAGTTCTATTACTTCAAGGATTCCCCCCGTCAGTTCAGTCACTCAGTCGTGTCCGACTCTTTGCGACCCCATGGACTGCAGCATGCCTGGCTTCCCTGTCCATCACCAACTCCCGGAGCTCTCTCAAACTCAAGGATTCCCTAGTAATACCCTTTTATATCCACATCCAGCTCCCTTCCTCCCTGCCTCTGTCACCCCTGGCCACCATGAATCTGTTACTCATCTCTATAATTTCATCATTAAAGAAATGGAAATATGCAGCACATATTGAGATGGGCGTTGTTTACTCACTGTAATTCCTTGGAGATTCATCCAGTGTTGTATGCATCAATGATTCCTTCCTTTTTTATTGCTCAGTACCATCCCATGGTATGGACAGACTACACTTTATTTAGTGAGTGAAAGTCTCTCAGTCGTGTCCAACTCTTTGTGACCCCATAGACTGTATCCCACCAGGCTCCTCGGTCATGAAATTCTCCAGGCAAGAATACTGGAGTGGGTTGCCATTTCCTTCTCCAGCAGATCTTCCCAACTCAGGAACGGAACATGGGTCTCCTGCCTTGCAGGCAGATTCTTCACCATCTGAGCCACCAGGGAAACCTTAACCATTTACCCATTGAAAGACATCTGGGTTCTTTCCAGTTTGGGGCTATTATAAAGATGCTGTACAATTTTTTGTGTGAATATAAGTTTTAATTTTTCTGGGATGATTACCTAAGAGTGTAAGTGCTGGATTGTATGATAAACATATGCTTAGCTTTATAAGAAACTACCATACTTTCCCCAGAATGACTGTTTCATTTTATATTCCTACCAGCAGTGTATAAGTAATCCTGTTTTTCCACATCCTCTCTAGCAGCTGGAGTTACCAGGTTTTGTTTTTGTTTTTTAAGCTATTCTGATGGGTATGTAGTACTATTGTGATTTTGATTTGTATCTCCCTAGTGACTAATGATGCTGAACATCTTCTCAGGTGCTTATTGCCATCTATGTGTTTCCTTCAGTGAAATGTCTATTCATGCTGCTTGCCATTTTCTAATTGGATTGGTTTTTAAGTGTTGAGTTTTGAGAGCTCTTTATATATTCTCTGGAGAAGGAAATGGCAATCCACTCCAGTATTCTTGCTTGGAAAATCCCATGGACAGAGAAGCCTGATGGGCTTGGCGGGCTACAGCCCATGGGGTTGCAAAGAGTTGGACATGACTGAGCAACTAACACTATATAGTCTAGGTCAAGAGGTTAGTCAGATATGTAATTGGTAATTATATTCTCCTTGCTTTTCTATCTCTCCATAGTTTTTTAATTTTGATGAGGTTCCAGTTTACCAGTTTTCCTTTTATGAATCATACTCTTATTGTCAATTCTAAAAATGCTTTGCCTAGCCCTAAATTGCCCAAATCTCCTATGTGTCTGTGGGAGTTTTACATTTTACTTTTTAAGTCCATGATCCATTTTTGTTAATATTTGTATACAGTGTGAGGTTTTGGTTATAGTTCATTTTTTTTCCTCTGGATGTCGAACTGCTTCAGCACTGCTTGTTGAAAGACTGTCCTTCATCCACCTTTGAACCTCAAACATCAGTTGATCGTATTTGTTTAGGTCTATTTCCAAGGTCTCTATTCTATTAATCTATGGGTCTGTCTCTCCACCAATATTACATTTTCTTGCTTACTGTGGATACATAGTAAACCTTAATATCAAGTAGAAATATTTTTTAAATTGTTTTAGCTCTTCTGGGTCCTGTGTCTTTCAATCCAGAGGCTGTTTTATTTCTGCAAAATTATCATGTCTGCAGTTTGAGTTGCAATCAAGAGAAAACTAGTTCCTAGATTTTGGCCTTAAGAAGCAAAAAAAAGAATTCTAACCATTTAACTGAATTTTAAAAAATACTGTCCTGTTCAAATATGCTTTTAAAAGAAGTATGAAAGTGAAAGTTTCTCAGTTGTGTCTGACTCTTTGCGACCCCATGGACTCTACAGCTCATGGAATTCTCCAGGTCAGAATACTGGAGTGGGTAGCCTTTCCCTTCTCCAGGGGATCTTCCCGACTCAGGGATCGAACCCAGGTCTCCCACATTGCAGGCAGATTCTTTACCAGCTGAGCCACAGGGAAGCCCAAAAAAGAAAATAAAAGAAGTGTACCTATTTCTATAAATAGCTATCCATAAAATAGAGGACTCACATTATAGCTTTAGCATAATGTATTTAGTTTTAGTGCATGTTCAGTTTAGACCTTATTCCCAGTAAGATTTTTGCTTTCTTTTATTCAGTCCAACAGTAAACAAAATCTACTAATATGTTATGGGTTATAAGCGTGTAACTTTAACATTAAGGAATAAAGCAGACAAGCTATGCAGGCAAGAAATAGTGTGGATTACCCATCCTGCATTCACATATACAGATTTAAGTTATATTAACTCAGAATTTAACATTTTAAGACAAACAGAACTGTAAAAATCATTTTTAAACCAACCTTTAAGGATATTATCTCAGAGGTTTCTCATGAAAAGTAGAGAATTGTGATAGTTGAGATACAGCTGCCTTTTAATGCTCTGTGACTGAACCCTTCATGACAGATCTGTTGGATGGCAGGTACCAAGGGCTAAGTACAGTCTGGAATTCCATCTGTGCCATCTTTTATCCCAAAGAAACATGATCTGTTCCATGGTGTGTCTGAATCCAGCACTCCAGATTGCAAAGGGAGGTCAACTGAATTTACATATTTTAAGAGAATGTTATTTCCCACGGATTTCTTAATCTCTCCAGTTGATTTTCCTCCAGGTTGGAACAACAGATATAAGAGGCATGATTAGGACTCTCCTTCCTCATGTCTGTGTATTTGTCTTTGTTATTTGCCCTAAAATGACATGTAGAGAATTTCCAGTGAATGGAGGTTGTTTAAGGTCAGGTTTCCTAGAAGCAGAGCCTGAGACAAGGATTTATATGCGAGTAATTTATTGAGGGAGTGCTCTGAAGAGGGAGAGAGTGAGAGCAGTGGAGCCAGAATGGGGTCCCAGCAGGAGTCTGGCTTCAGCCTCCTCCCAGAAGAGACTTTGAGCATAAACTGCATCACAGAGTGGATCCCAGCCTGAGGCAATGGCTGAGAAACATGCATCCATCAGCCACTGGCTTCAGCTGATCCAGGTGGGGACATGAGCACAGATGGCCTAACCTCCCAGGCTAAGAGATTTCCATCAGACTGCAGGTGCCAACAGTATCCACCACTAGGGTCTTCATGATCACAGAACTAGTATTAAAAATAGGTGGGCTGTTAACTGTCCCACTTAGCCAGTCACTTCTTTAAGCCTTCTACGACCCTTAGCCTGCCTCATGTGTCCTGTTTCTATCATGTTTTCAAGGGTTGCTCAGTTACGTGAAAGCTCAAGATGAATGCAGCAGAGGTGCCTATCACCCCCTCTTTGGCGATCTCCTGGTGGGTCTCAATGGGCAGCTCACGGCTTCTTCTACCTGTGGACTGGACAGAGCCCAGAAATACTGCATCCTCAGCTACCTCGAGGTGGGTTGGATCTTTGTTTACTTTTTGGGACATGATTTCATCAGTGATGTAGATTTTTCAAGTATATCTAGGGCTGTCCAGACAACAGGAGAGAAAAGGAGACAGTCCGCCTTCCCAAACATCAGAGACACAAGTGATTCAATTCAACATCCAGGAAACCTTCACTAATTGGGGAATAAGGAAGCTGGGCTTCATCTATTTCTTGTTACCTTTAGAATTAAACAAAAAAAAAGGTGTTTTTTTTTTTGTTCAGTCTTTGAAGGAACTACTATACAATATATGTTCTAATTGGCTGCTTTCGTGACTCCACTGGAGTGGACTTACTAAATAATTGACGAGTTGGATGAAGATGGAAGATCCCTCAGAGTTCAGGGCTATTATGCTGAACATGGGCTTTTACTGCTCTGCTTAAGATGGAGATGGACAGAGTGTGGACCTGGAATTGATTGTCTGCCAGCGTCTCAATGCCACTTGGAAACTGTCTTATTTAGAGACTATCAAGTCCCAATGTGAACATCCTTTTGTCCCTTTTATTCTTAAAGACCAGTTTTATAAAAGGACCAGTTGCTTTTTTTCTTCCCTGGACTCTGAAACAAGCATCCAAAGTCATCTGAGTATCACACCTGCTTAAAAGCCTGAGGCAATTATGTCAACCCCTTAACTGAGAGGATGTGCATGAAGGAAGTTGGATGTAAGCCTAATGTTAGTGACCCAGTTTTTCCACGTATTGTTTGTGTAAAGCAACTCCTGGAGGCCTCTGGGAAGGTTTTGTGTTCTCATTGGTTTTAGTAAAAGAGGATGGTTATAAATAAGTGGAGACAATACTTGAGTGCTTAGCCTTTGTCTAAGTTTAGGAAGTACTTGTATAAGAAAGCAGATTCTCTACATGTGCAAGAAAGTGACACTGTAGAAGTTTTGCTCCATTTTAGGTCAGGTGGGATGGAAGCCCCTTCACATAGCTTTCCTAAGGCCAGGTCCCCTGGACAAAGCAGTGGTTCCCAACTCTAATATTAGAAACTTTGCACACTGGCATCACCCATCTTGTTTTTTCACCATTGGCATCTGCTTACATTGTCATGAGCCTAATTATTTGAATTTGATGTTAAAATAATTAGAACTTGATGTTCCTATGTGCAAAGTTATGCCAAATAGAAGTAAAACCAACTCCAGAACTTCTTCAGTCTAGGTAATCACAGAAATCTTAAAAATCTTAGAACTGGGGGGAAAAAACCACAAAATATCTTCTAGCTGACAAAGCTTTACAGGTGAAACTATAAGTATTAATTACATAAAATTCATGTGGCATGGAGGATAATTTTTTTTTTCATCCATCAACTAGCAAAGAGCTCTCAAGCAAAATATTCCCTTCCAAATGTTTAAGTCAGCATTGACTCAGAGAGTTACCCAAGTTGGGCCTCTCATATCTATTTGCCACAACTATGCATCCTCTGTAGCCAGTTCCATCAAAGACTGTACTTCTAAAATGTTTACAGAAAAAAATTAATGGCCTGAAGTTAAACAGTTTCCCCAATATTTTCCATAGTATTGGAAATATTTTCAAGTCTTGACAACTTTTGGTGGAATCATTGGGCTCCTGTTGCTTTATTAGGACAGATCTGGGGCAAATCTCCCCATATGCAGAACTGATCTAACTTGTACTGGTCCTTAATTTCTAAAGGGCATTTTGGTTTTCTTCAAGTATAAGGGCTTATGATGGCCGGTGATTATAAAAAGATTATACCACTCTCTTGAAAGTCTGGTTTACTTTGACAACCTGTAGCTGAAATAGTCATTAAAATAATCATGCATTTGTTTAACAAAAGTGGCGGGACTGGTCAGATAACCTAGGCCCTTGTAAGCCATCGTCAAGCATAAAATCCAATGTTTGCTGAATACCTACTGGCATATTTGCTGTTTTGGGCAATTTCCAATATGGAGCATGGTAAGAAATCACTCCTGCTTCCTGGAAGCTTTGCAAAAATGCTCCTCCAGAGTCCCACAAATATTAGTGAGAACAACTGTGCAGGCCATTGACAGGCCTTTGGAAATCTTGGGAGAGTTCCTCAGGAATTTAAGTAAGTACAGCTACAAGTGGATGCAAACAAACTCAAAGGCCAGTCTTGACTGTTAAAACCTTTGAAAATCCATCCCAAGCAAAATTAGTTCCAATTCACAAAAATCTTCTAGTCTGCAAGACAAGAGGGTGGGTCTCTCTGTAATGAGTTTAATGAAACTCAAAAAAATCCACATGTGCATAGTAAAGGTTTTGGCTCTGGAAGCTTTTATGCCAAAAATAATATCAGAGAGAGAAAAGATGATGGTTGCAGATAAACTAATGGCCAATTGTTTCATTAATTTCTTACTAATTTTTTTTTAACTAAAGGAAGTCATTCCAACTCAAGAATATATCCTAGTTATTTTTCTATAGTTTAAAACAAACTCTAAACCCTCTGCTCCTTGTATGAGAAAAAATTATTAGTTCTACAAATTTGGAATTTTGTCCCAAATGTTTACATTTATAAAATTTCTAAGTCAAGTCTTAATTTTGTTTGTTTTGGTAGTCAAGCACCTGTTGATGGAAAAATTTATGTCTTGTAATTTCCTCTGCTTTTTATTTTTAGCTAGATTGAATGACAAATATAGCACATCCAGCTTGTTTTTAAATTCAGATCAACAATAAGTAATGACGATTATTTATTTTTAATTTTAATGATGTATTTTCCAGGGGGAACAAAAATGCTTCATCTGTGATTCCAGATTTCCATATGATCCACACACCCAACCCAACAGCCACACCATCGAGAATGTAATCACAAGTTTTGAACCAGAGAGAGAAAAGAAGTGGTGGCAATCTGAAAATGGTATGACCAAGTTTCTTTACAATCTTTTATTTCTTCACATTTTTAGTAAGGTATCTTTCTCTCTATATGATTTTGGCAATATCACACAAGGAGTTATATTGAAATGGAATAATATCCACTGAGAATGTAAAACCCTGTATAAAAGCAAAATTCAATTTTCATTTTAAGAAAGAATATTTTCCTCTTGAGAAATAGAAGTGTTTTTTAAGCACATACCTGAGAATGTTTTACTTTTTTCACATGGGGAACAGTTCTGTATGCTCTTGTTCTTTGGGAAAATAAAAAAGGAGATGGGGTAGTTTATGAAGTGTTGGTAAATTAAGCCTAATAAAAAACACACTGATGTAAACAGAAATAATAATGCCGGGGGAAGTCTGAGAGTTAATACCATGTGCTTTTTCCTTCTTCAACACATGAAGGCAGAGAGAGAAAGGATGTTTCTTTCTGCAAGTTAAAAATTTTAATATAAAAATTTAATTGAAAGGGTAGTTGGCTACTGACTGCAATTCTTTCCTTCCTGGTTTTTGCCCTTCCCTGTTCATGACATTGTGATCCTGAACCTCACACTGGCCCTGTTTCCTAGATGCCACTGTAAATTTGGACCTGATCAGGGATTTCCTATTTCCCACCCCAGCTTTATGTGTTTAATGTAGCTCGTTCACTCATGATGGACCCTCTTCAACACTGGTCTGGAGCTCTTATCCCCCCAGAGAAGGATTCCATTTGCCGCATCCTGCATCTCTCACCTGGGACTACAATTCCTCTATTGTGTTCAGATTCTAAACATATTTCCCTAAAGGGATCCCAGGCCATAAGAGGGAAGTGTGGGAATAATCATAATAGGTAAGATCATTCAGGGTGAGCATAGTATAAGGCTATTTTTCTATGTCATCCATTGGACACAGACATTATTGGTGTCTATTAAATGCTAGTTCAATTTGGATCCTAATGATTGGTCTCTCATTGGACTCTCCTTAGACAATATTGGTGGTTTTTACCACACTGATGAATGGGACCATTTTTGCTTCACACCTGCTTTGATCCACATGCCCAGCATTCATTCCATGTCTCCTTAAGAGGGAATGCCCTTCTGTCAAAGCTGACTGCACAGAAGATGTGTTCTCAACTGAGTGCTTGGTTGAGAACAAGAGGGAACAGGTGATCTCCTTTCCAGAAAGAGCTGGGAGCCTTTGACACAGAGCCTGGAATATGGCTGCCCTCTCAGCAGCAAACCCTTCCCCAAGCCATTCACCCCAGAACATTAAGCTATGTCCTAATTCACCACAGTGAAGTCATTGTTTTCTGGAGCTAGACTTTCCAATATTGCGACTATACACATGGCTACTTGAGCACAAAAAACATGGCTTACCCACCTAACAGAAGCAGAAAATATTAAGAGGTGGCAAGAATACACAGAAGAACTATACAAAAAAGATTTTCGTGACCCAGATAACCCTGATGGTGTGATCACTCACCTAGAGCCAGACATTCTGGAATGCGAAGTCAAGTGGACATTAGGAAGCATCACTATGAACAAAGCTAGTGGAGGTAATAGAATTCCAGCTGAGCTATTTCAAATCCTAAAAGACGATGCTGTGATAGTGCTGCATTCAATATGCCAGCAAAATTGGAAAACTCAGCAGCGGCCACAGGACTGGAAAAGGTGTTTTCATTCCAATCCCAAAGAAAGGCAGTACCAAAGAATGTTCAAACTACTGCACAATTGTACTCATCTTACACGCTAGCAATGTAATGCTTAAAATTCTCCAAGCCAGGCTTCCACAGTACATGAACTTAGAACTTCCAGATGTTCAAGCTGGATTTAGAAAAGACAGAGGAACCAGAGATCAAATTGCCACCATGTGATGCATCATCAAAAAAGCAAGAGAGTTCCAGAAAAACATCTACTTCTGCTTTATAGACCACGTCAAAGCCTTTGACTGTGTGGATCACAACAAACTGTGGAAATTTCTTCAAGAGATGGGAATACCAGACCACCTGACCTGCCTCCTGAGAAATCTATATGCAGGTCAAGAAGCAATAGTTAGAACCAGACATGGAACAACAGACTGGTTCCAAATAGGGAAAGGAGTATGTCAAGGCTGTATATTGTCACCCTGCTTATTTAACTTATATGCAGAATGAAACTGGAAGTCACTCAGTCATGTCTGACTCTTTGCAACCCCATGTACTACACAGTCCATGGAATTCTCCAGGCCAGAATACTGGAATGGGTAGCCTTTCCCTTCTCCAGCAGATCTTCCCAACCCAGGAATTGAACCGGGGTCTCCTGCATTGCAGGCAGATTCTTTACCAGCTGAGCTATAAGGGAAGCCCATATATCAGAGTACATCATGTGAAATGCTGGGCTGCATGAGCACAAGCTGGAATCAAGATTGCCAGAAGAAATAACAATAACCTCATATATGCAGATGATTCCACCCTTATGGAAGAAAGCGAAGAAGAACTAAAGAGCCTCTTGATAAAAGTGAAAGAGGAGAGAGAAAAGTTGGCTTAAAACTCAACATTCAGAACACTAAGATCATGGCATCTGGTCCCATCACTTCATGGCAAATAGATGAGGAAGCAATGGAAACAGTGAGAGCCTATTTTGGGGGCTCCAAAATCACTGAAGATGGTGACTGCAGCCATGAAATTAAAAGATGCTTGCTTCTTGGAAGCAAGGCTATGGTTTTTCCAGTAGTCATGTATGGATGTGAGAGTTGGACTATAAAGAAAGCTGAACACTGAAGAATTGATGCTTTTGAGCTGTGATGTTGGAGAAGACTCTTGAGAGTCCCTTGGACTGCAAGGAGATCCAATCAGTCCATCCTAAAGGAAATCAGTCCTCAATATTCATTGGAAGGACTGATGCTAAAGCTCCAATACTTTGGCCACCTGATGCAAAGAACTGGCTCATTGGAAAAGACCCTGATGCTGGGAAAGATCGAAGGCAGGAGAAGGGGACGACAGAGGATGAGATGGTTGGATGGCATTACCAACTCGATGGACATGAGTTTGAGTAAGCTCCAGGAGTTGGTGATGGACAGGGAAGCTTGGCGTGCTGCATTCCATGGGGTTGCAAAGAGTCAGAGGTGACTGAGCAACTGAACTGAACTGAATCCAAACCAAGATGTGCTATGTGTGTAAAAACATCCTGGGTTTCTAAGACTTAATTTGGGGAAAGAAGTATGTATAATAAAGCATCACTAATTTTTAAAATATTGACTACATGTTGAAATGAGAATATTTTTGATATATTGGATTAGGCATAGTATATATTTATATATAATATATTTAGGCAATGTATTATATATAATATTTGTATCATACATATGATTTAAATATATAAATAAATGACAGATAATGTATTATCTGCCTAGGGTTTCCTGGGTGATGCAGTGTTAAAGAATCCATCTGCCAATGCAGGAGATGCAAGAGATGTGGATTTGATCTTTGAGTTGAGAAGATCCTCTGGAGTAGGAAATGGCAACCCACTCCAGCATTTTTGCCTGGAGAATCCCATAGACAGAGGAACCTAGCAGGCTACAGTCCGTGGGGTTGCAAAAAGTTTGACATGACTGAGCACAGCACACAGTATATTATCTATAATATATATTTATTATCTGTAGTGCATATTATTTATAATATGTCATGTTATTTATAATATATAGATAAATACATTTTATAGATATATAGACTATATATATATAATAAATATAAATAATTTCTCTTGTTTCTTTTTACTTTTTAAAATGTGCCTGCTAGAAAAAGCCTTTGACAAAATTCAACATCCATTTATGATTAAAACTCTCCAGAAAGCAGGAATAGAAGGAACATACCTCAACATAATAAAAGCTATATATGACAAACCCACAGCAAGCATCACCCTCAATGGTGAAAAATTGAAAGCATTTCCCCTGAAATCAGGAACAAGACAAGGGTGCCCACTCTCACCACTACTATTCAACATAGTTTTGGAAGTGTTGGCCACAGCAATCAGGGCAGAAAAAGAAGTAAAAGGAATCCAGATAGGAAAATAAGAAGTGAAACTCTCTCTGTTTGCAGATGACATGATCCTCTACATAGAAAACCCTAAAGACTCTACCAGAAAATTACTAGAGCTAATCAACGAATATAGTAAAGTTGCAGGATATAAAATTAACACACAGAAATCTCTTGCATTCCTATACACTAACAATGAGAAAACAGAAAAAGAAATTAAGGAAACGATACCATTCACCATTGCAACAAAAAGAATAAAATACTTAGGAGTATATCTACCTAAAGAAACAAAAGACCTATACATAGAAAACTATAAAACACTGATGAAAGAAATCAAAGGGGACACAAACAGATGGAGAAATATACCGTGTTCATGGATTGGAAGAATCAATATTGTCAAAATGGCTATACTACCCAAAGCAATCTATAGATTCAATGCAATCCCTATCAAACTACCAACGGTATTTTTCACAGAACTAGAATAATTTCACAATTTGTATGGAAATACAAAAAACCTCGAATAGCCAAAGTAACCTTGAGAAAGAAGAATGGAACTGGAGGAATCAATCTGCCTGACTTCAGACTACTACAAAGCCACAGTCATCAAGACAGTATGGTACTGGCACAAAGACAGAAATATAGATCAATGGAACAGAATAGAAAGCCCAGAGATAAATCCACGAACCTATGGTCACCTTATCTTCGACAAAGGAGGCAAGGATATACAATGGAAAAAAGACAACCTCTTTAACAAGTGGTGCTGGGAAAACTGGTCAACCACCTGTAAAAGAATGAAACTAGAACACTTTCTAACACCATACACAAAAATAAACTCAAAATGGATTAAAGATCTAAATGTAAGACCAGAAACTATAAAACTCCTAGAGGAGAACATAGGCAAAACACTCTCCGACATAAATCACAGCAGGATCCTCTATGACCCACATCCCAGAATTTTAGAAACAAAAGCAAAAATAAACAAATGGGACCTAATGAAACTTAAAAGCTTTTGCACAACAAAGGAAACTATAAGCAAGGTGAAAAGACAGCCCTCAGATTGGGAGAAAATAATAGCAAACGAAGCAACAGACAAAGGATTAATCTCAAAAATATACAAGCAACTCCTCCAGCTCAACTCCAGAAAAATAAATGACCCAATCAAAAAATGGGCCAAAGAACTAAACAGACATTTCTCCAAGGAAGACATACAGATGGCAAAAAAACACATGAAAAGATGCTCAACATCACTCATTGTCAGAGAAATGCAAATCAAAACCACAATGAGGTACCATTACACGCCAGTCAGGATGGCTGCTTTCCAAAAGTCTACAAGCAATAAATGCTGGAGATGGTGTGGAGAAAACGGAACCCTCTTACACTGTTGGTGGGAATGCAAATTAGTACAGCCATTATGGAAAACAGTGTGGAGATTTCTTAAAAAGCTGGAAATAGAACTGCCATATGACCCAGCAATCCCACTTCTGGGCATACACGCTGAGGAAACCAGATCTGAAAGAGACACGTGCACCCCAATGTTCATCGCAGCACTGTTTATAATAGCCAGGACATGGAAGCAACCTAGATGCCCATCAGCAGACGAATGGATGAGGAAGCTGTGGTACATATACACCATGGAATATTACTCAGCCATTAGAAAGAATTCATTTGAATCAGTTCTAATGAGATGGATAAAACTGGAGCCCATTATACAGAGCGAAGTAAGCCAGAAAGATAAAGACCATTACAGTATACTAACACGTATATATGGAATTTAGAAAGATGGTAACGATAACCCTATATGCAAAACAGAAAAAGAGACTCAGATGTATAGAACAGACTTGTGCACTCTGGGAGAAGGCGAGGGTGGGAATGTTTCAAGAGAACAGCATCGAAACATGTATATTATCTAGGGTGAAACAGATCACCAGCCCAGGTTGGGTGCATGAGACAAGTGCTCTGGCCTGGTGCACTGGGAAGACCCAGAGGGATCGGGTGGAGAGGGAGGTGGGAGGGGGGCCGGGATGGGGAATACATGTAAATCCATGGTTATTTCATTTCAATGTATGACAAAAACCACTGCAATGATGTAAAGTAATTAGCCTCCAACTAATAAAAATAAATGGGAAAATAAATAAATAAATAAAATGTGCCTGCTAGAATCCATTGGACAGTTCCCCTCTAGGAGCAGCTTCCATCATGGCTGGTTTGGAGCAGATACCTGGATGGCATCGAGCTGTCTCAGTGCCAAGTCCTGGCCAGGATGTTCGGGCTGTGGTCCCTCTATTGTCTTTGGATACCTAAATGTATTTCCTGTAGGGGACTCTAGACCATGAGAAGGGAGTAAGGAAATCATCATCATCAGTATATAAAATGATTTAGGGCAAGCATAGTATGAGGCTTTTTCAGTGTCATGCTTTGGACAGGAACATGATTGGTCGCCACAGAGGAGCCCACAGACCCTCAGTCCTAGGAGAAAAATCCAAAGTGTGTTTTCTGAGTGACAGTACAACTAGGTCAAATGCTTCCTTGTAGCTGTTGGAAGGAGAGGGTGTGGCTGTTTGCCATGTGCTGGCTACTAGCTTACGTGAAGTCAAGATTCGAGGTGAACACAGCGTGCTCTGTCTACCTGTAGAGACCACCCATGAGCTCCCGTGGTGGTGTGTCACACAGCCCCACTGAGGCTGTGCGCGTTGTCACTGAAACACAAATATGAGCGCAGTCGGGGGAAAACGGATATAACCCTCACATAGACCTTATCCCGAGTGCGAATGGCATGGAAAGCCACTCCAACAGACTTGGCAAGGGTGTTGATCACCAGCCATAAAATTCCAAAGGGTTTCATTATGAACAATTGAGGAATTAGCATGGTAAACAGTTGTCTCTCAAAATCACTGATTTTCTTCTTTCTGGATTTTCCTTTAGGTCTTGACCATGTCAGCATCAGACTGACCTAGAGGCCTTATTTCAGCTCAGTCACCTTATTCTGACCTTTAAGGTACAGATGTGTAGAGTGCTGCCCCTTTATCTACTTAACCAAATGCTTGGCATACCTTAGATTTCACTTCCTTGCTCCCCTGCAGAGAACAAAAAGCTGTTCAGATCCAGACTGGAGCTTTGTTATCTGGGCTTTTTGCTCTTGAATGAAAAACAGAAAAACCCCAGTGCTCATTAAATAACTTACATGATTAACAAAAAAGAAAAGAGAGAGAGTCTTAGAAGATACAGGAAAAGGAAAACCTCCAAGCTCTGGGGTGCTAGAGATGACAAGAACTAGAAAGATAATTTGGAGGATAAAAGGACAGGTACTGGAAATTATTTAAGGAAATACAAAAAAAAAAAAATTTGTGATCAAAAGAGGAAGAAAATTTAAAGGCTCTTTACTGAGTTAGATGCCAGAGAAAATCTGTGCTATCATCATTCTTTAATCATTCATCAGAATTCTAATTTTGTCAGGCCTGGTGCTAGGTTTTAGTCATAAAAGATGAACATAAAATTAAAAGTTTTAAAAATTTAAGAAGTAGTCTTTGATTTCAAAGAACTCACAGTCTAGTCATGGGTATAAACAGATATATAATTTTGAAATTACAATGCAGAGTGACAAGTACAGAAATAGATGTATGATTAGAATGTTGGGGGGTTATTTGACATGGCTAAGTCAACTCTGGGGAAACGGTTAACTTCATGGTGGATTTTGAAGGATGTATAAGAGTTTGCCAGAGGAAAAGTATTCTAAGTGAAGAAAACCACATGCAGATTGCTATAAAAATGCCAACTGCATTGGCCTTTTTTTTTTTAAGTACATGCCATTTTTCTTCAATTAATTTATACAGAAACAATTTTAAAATGGAGTTTGATTCTTGGACAAAGCATGTGCTCATAAATAGTCGTCCACTTGATAAAAAGAGATTTTTGATGTGTTCATGGTAGAGTAGATTTTTTTTTTTCTTTTCCTTTTCTTGGCCTTGCTGCGTGGCATGTGGAATCTTAGTGGCCTGACCAGGGATCAAACCTGTGCCCTCTGCAGTGGAACCACCAGAGAATTCCTTAGAATAGATTTGAAAAGATACAAATAAAGGTATTAAAAATGGAATTCAAAAATATTGTCAATCTGGAATGGGTTATAAATTCTACTTTTGCGAAGCATGACAAGTTTAACTGATTTTTCTCCTAGACTTTTCGGCCTGCTGCAATGTTAGTTGAACGCTCCACAGACTATGGACATACCTGGAGAGTGTTCAAATATTTTGCCAAAGATTGTGCTGCTTCCTTCCCTAACATCACATCTGGCCAGGCCCAGGGAGTGGGAGACATTGTGACTCCAAATATTTGGATATTGAACCCTCCACTGGTGGTGAGGTAGAATTTCCTTTCTGTGATTTCTTTCCTGGAAATGAAATCTTTTTGTTGTTGTTGTTATCGTGGTTAACCCAGATGAAAACAGTTTAGGTAGTGTCTACTGAAATAGAACATGAGCTGCTGCTTGTTTAGGAATGGTAGTGTCTAAATTGAAATGAGTCCTGAATTCATCTCATATTCAGGTAAATTACAAATACCTTACAGGAAATGATCCTGTACAAGAGTGCCTCTACTGAAGGTAAACAAGGGCTAAAATGCAAGTTGGGCACTGTGGCCAGGATTCCAGAGGTAGGAATATCTTTTTCTAGTCCTTTCAAAGGAACCATAAAGGCTAATGGCAGCCCTCTATGCTCTGCAAGCCCCACACCTGGGTGGAATCTGCCCAGAACTTCCTCAGAGCAAAGCTGGTGATGGGCAGAAAGCCAGGGGATAGGAGTAGGCTTGGGAGGTATTACCTTATCAGGTAGAGTAGTAGGAATGGTGACAGAAGGCAGCTCCAGAATCCACATTGATGCCACAATGCCAGATTCACATTGATGAGGACTTGCTGAATTATGAACCCATTACTCCACCCCAACTAAGCATGAGTCCTTTCCAGCAGTGGTATGAGCACTTCCGTCCACATGGACCACTTGTGCATAAAGAGCCAGAGTGACTGTTTAACAACCTTCCTTCATTTTCATTCTTCGTACTTTTATTCAAATGAGAACCCAAATGATAATCTACATTCTACACCAGCTGGGAAATAGTGGCACAGCCTTCTTGTAAGGTCAAGATATCTTCTTTAAGAGTATATTGAACACTTACATTTTGGGGGCAAAACACTCTAAATTTACCTACATTTGTTTTACAGGTTGTTTTAAAGGTGTTGGGTCCCAGCTTTGAAATAGAAAACCCTTACAGCCCTTACATCCAGGGTATGAATTGCTTTATATTTTTCACACTGGCTTCTTTTGTAAAACTTCATGTGAGGGAGATTCCTTGTCATTGCATGTCTATAGGATGGTAAGGGAGTATCAGTCAAGGAGAGTGCTTTGAACCCATCCAACCTAAAGCACTTTGATTTATTAATTTCATTATTTTCCTTTCTCTAGACCTTGTGACATTAACAAACCTGAGGATAAACTTTACCAGGCTCCATACTCTCGGGGATACTTTGCTTGGAAGAAAGCAAAATGATTCCCTTAATAAATACTACTATGCACTGTATGAGATGGTGGTTAGAGGAAGCTGTTTTTGCAATGGCCATGCTAGCGAATGTGGTTCAGTACAGAAGACGCGCGGTGATGTTTTCAGCCCTCCCAGCATGGTGAGTTACAAATTCACCCGAGAGCAAGATTGGCTCTCCTATCTTCCCTTCACTGTCTTAGTGCTGAATGTATGTCAGACTGTATGTGGGGATCAACAAGCCTAGAGCCCTCTTTGTGCCAGGCAGGTATCATTCAATCTGGCCCATCAGGCCATCTGGGGGCCTTTGGTTCTCTGGACAGACGTTCTTGTGAATTCTGCCACATGTGGGCATCATTGAGCTAATGGGCAGAATTTGTAATTTATGGTTTCCAGATGGTCCATCTTAGTCTCTCTTGTTTATTGATTTTTTAGGGAATGGAGATTTGATGGGGAGAAACCATGTCACATACATTGTCTCATAAAAATGTTTTGAAGGTCTGTTCATGTGAGAGCCCGGGCTCAGTGCCAAAGTGTTTGAGTGACATCTGATGCTGTCAAAAGCCGTCACCTCGAGTGACACGCTATGAATGACTCTGTCCTAAGCAGTGCAGATCTTCTCCACTCCTGGGACTAATCTTAAAGGAACAATACAGTAGAAGAATTAAATTTTGTGCAGAGTCTTGGGAGTGTGTCTAACTAAAAATAGTTTTGAACTATTGGTCATAACGGACAAGGCTGGAGGCTATAGATCTTTCCACTTAGACACCTCATGTGTTTCACCAGAAATGGAAATTTTCCCTGGGAATGTAGGCACGGAGGGCATTTTGTGAAAAATCAAGAGAATCCCACACCTTTTTGAAGTTTTGGTTTTCTAATTCCCTGAGGTTCCTAAATCATCCCCCACAGACACACACGCATGCACACACATACACTCTCTCCATGCTGGCCCTCAGTTTGCCAAGGGTCTGCATTCAGACCATGTGTTCCCTGATACCAAAACTCAGAAAAACAAAGAATTCCTTGTAAATGTTCACTTAAGCATCTTAAAATTTAAAAAGTTTAAAAGCTAATTAAGCAAGTGATAGTAGACAGTCAGGGTTCGTATTGTAACTAACACATGGGAACCTAAGACCCAGAGAGACCTCCTTGGGCTGGTATTTCATTTTCCATTTAAAGAACTCCAACGTCCTCGAAGTTCAAAGATGAGCCCTGTGTTCACACCATTCATGTTGCTCACGCATGCAGGTTCATGGTCGATGCATCTGTCAGCACAATGCAGATGGCCCAAACTGTGAGAGGTGCAAGGACTTCTTCCAGGATGTTCCTTGGAGGCCAGCTACGGGCCTCCTGGACGGTGCTTGCCAAGGTGGGTGGACCTCAGTTCTTAGCATAGACGTAGTTTCCTTATATGAAACTCCTTACAGTCTCTGCTTTCCCTTCTTTTGGAGAACATTTAGCTGGTTTCTGTTGGGCTTCTGGCACCACAGGGGGTTATCTTGTGACTTCCAGCTCCAACTATGTGATATTCCTCATGTCTCCTGCACAGAAGAACACCGGCTTCTCCAACCCTCACACCAGAACTTAACATTAATTTGAAGAACTAGATTATATGTTGTGTGGCCCTTTCCACCGGAGGGGCACAGCCATGGGAGGGTAATATCCGTGGGGATGGTGTCACTCCAGCAATCTGGTGACCACTAGAATTGGTACAGAGAGCCCCACTGTTTTCCTGAATAAATATACACTCAGTGAATGTGACCTTAAACCCATATATCAGATAAGATATGAGAAATGAGGCCCAGGATGGAGTTTGACAGGCTATTGTGTTTTTTAATAAAATATTTAGACTTAAAAAGATAGGAGGGGGTTTTGTCATGTGTTTTCTGCCTCTGAATTTTGATGCATTTCTAAAGCTGTTATTCAGTTTCTTTTCCCAAATGTGGGAAAAACAGGATTTGACAAAGAGGTTATTAGATGAGCTCTTAAGAAAAAGCCCCATCCATGAGTGACACAGTGGACACAACCCAGCAAAATGTGGCCCAAGCTTATGCTGTTTACAGGGAAAAACCCAACCAGGCAAGTAGCATAGATATTATCACAAAGATACACAGATCCCTTTAAACCTTTCCTTCTGATGATCTGGGTGAGCGTGTGTTGGGAGGAAGATGACATTTAGCCCCGCTTCCAGCAGTTCTGCCCTAGAGAAGGAGAGGCTGGCTGGACCAGCTCTAGCATCTAATCTGGAGAATCCAGTACTACCATACTCCCAAGCATGTGATGTAAAACCTTCAGATTTACCAGTCTGAGTCAGTAAACATATTCTTTGTGTGTGCTGTGTGCTCAGTCTAATACCTAGTTCTTTGCCACCCCATGGACTGTAGCCCAGGACATTCCTCTGTATTTGGGATTCTCCAGGCCAGAATACCAG